TAAATGGAAATTAGGTTACTCTCATAGTGCACCTAGTATTTATCCTCCAGATGAAATAACATTTCATTTAGCCTGGCATACATATAGACTGGTATCATTATTATTATTTTTTTAATGTTTATTGAGTATCCACTATATGCATCGCTGGATGTGGAAAGGGAAAATGTGTATAGTATGACCCCAGGCCTGAAAAAGCTAGAAATATACTCTGACTAGTAAGATATGGTCTCCTACGAATTGAATGTTTGTGTTCCCACAAAATTCTTATGTTGAAATCCTAACTCCAGATGTGAGGGCATTTAGAGGTGAGACCTTTGGGAAGAGGGGATCAGTCTGTGAGATTAAGACTCATAGATGGGTTTAGTGTCCTGATAAAAGGCCCAGAGAGCTTCCTTGCCTTTCACCTTGTGAGGACACAGGAAAAAGACAGTCCTCTATGAACTATGAACTCTCCAGTCACGAAATTTACTGGTGCCTTAATTTTGGACTTCCCAGCCTCCAGAAATGTGAGAAATATATTTCTGTTGTTTATAAGCCACCGAGTCTATGGTATTTTACTATAGCAGCCCAAACAGACTGAGGGCAAAACATAAAACAATTATTGTGAAAAAGAAGCATGGTATTTGTGGAAGTGAATGAATTGGACAATTAACCCTATAAGAATTGCACAACTGTGGCAAACTGAGGAACTGTATATGGCTTGGAAACTCCAACCAGGAAGAGGGAGTTTACAGTGCAAACTTGGATAGAGGAAGATTTACATTGTTTAAGAGGTCTGGAGCTGGGGAGACTACATAAGAATTGAAATAAATGAATTTGTACAGATGAGATTTTTTTTTTAAAGATTTTATTTATTTATTTGACAGAGAGACACACAGCGAAAGAGGGAACACAAGCAGGGGGAGTGGGAGAGGGAGAAGCAGGCTCCCCGCTGAGCAGGGAGCTGCATGCGGGGGCTCGGTTCCAGGACCCTGAGATCATGACCTGAGCTGAAGGCAGACGCCTAACGACTGAGCCACCCAGGCGCCCCCAGATGAAACTTTTGGAACATGCTTTTTGAAAATAATTAATAAACTTATATAAATAGATTTAGATCTCACAAAATACAATACTAAGAGATAAAATAGGTTTTTGTCTGAGGAAAAAAAAATCTAGTGACAGTTTAAGGTACTTAAAATTTTCCTAGAAGTAATTGGAGTATAAGAATAGCAGAAGGAAAGTGTTTTAACACTTTTCCTGAGGGGCTTGAGGATAAGCAGTTAGAACACTCAAGAATCCATATAGTCAGGTCTTCGCTCAAATATAATTTTCTTGGAGACATTCTTCATAATCAACCAACCCATCTTAAATGAGCATACCCAGCACTCCTTGCCCTATTTCCCAAGTCTATTTTATTTTTACCATGCACTTCTTTTCTACCATACATTACTATTCTAACTTTATTAATTGACTATTAATTCTAAAATCTATTAATTGAATATCTCCTCATTGGGATATAAGCTCTATGAAAGCAGAGACTTTTTGCTGTTCCCTATAGTGTCCCCAGAACCTAGGAGAGTGTCTGCCACATAGCAGATACTTAATAAATATTTTAACTGGTGTATAAATAATAAAGTGATAAAGACTTGGGCTTATTACCCAATGGAAATAAAGATGTTCATTTATTTATTCAAAACTGCATATTTTTTTTTAAGATTTTATTTATTTATTTGAGAGAGAGAATGAGACAGAGAGAGAGAG